GAGTGTGCTTTAAAAACAACAGCAATATGACAACAAATATAATATTGCATAATACCCCATTTTTATTGTTGACGAATGCGCTTGTCGTACGTTCATGTGAAAAGCGAAAAACGTTTTATTTATTTGTTAAAAATGAAATCCAACTTAGTAGCCTGTCTTTTCCTGTTGGCACCCGCCCACCATCAACGCAAGAGTTCTATATTTCGCTTCCCGACTGGACTTTTCTCCCAGCCCTTTCCGATCCAGTCCACCGGATACCATTTTTTTAATTGCCTGAAATCGGCCCCACTGGCAGGGGCTCCGGAGGATCTGAAGAGACGCGGAGGCTTGGTTGGGTTTTGTTCTCCCCGAGACCAACCCACCCCCGTCCGCCCCCGGGGACTCCCCCTCCCTCTTTCACCCGAGGAAGCAGAGAGCCGGCCTGTCTGTCTGTCTTTCTGTTTGTTGCCGCCCCGCGAAAGCTCCTGCCTGGATCCGCCAGGGTGCTTTCCGCACCTTCTTGTCAAGTTCAATTAGCTCCCGATCTTTTCAGCTAAAAGGACCAGCTCTGCAGCCCGGCAGGGATCCGGGCGCTGATTCATCCCGAGAGCGAGCGGTGTAGTCGCCTCTGGGCCCGCACTTTCTCGGCCTCCCCCTAGCAGCCCAGCCCAGCCCCTGTTCCTTTTGCTCGGGGTCCTCATTGCAGGCATGACCAAGAAGGAGCAGATGAGCTTAGAGGAGCGGGCAAAGGATGCTCCTAAGGAAATCAGAAGGGTTGAAGGGAGAAAAACTCACCCACACACCCAGAAGCCAATGATTTTACGCCTCCCCCCCGGAAGCTCCTAGCGAAGGAGAGCTGCATGTTTTTTGGGGTAGTGTTGGTGTGTGGAGTGGCTGAAAGAGGGCTGCTTTCAGGCTGAGGGGCAAGATCTGGTGTGGGGCAAAGGAGTCTACGCCTCCTGTGCCTTCTCTGGAGACAGAGATGGTTAGAGAGCCAGCGTTAGTCCTGCTCAGAGCAAACTCGTTGAAATCAATGGGCATGACTGAATGAGGGCCGTCGATTCAAGAGGTTCTGCTCTGAGTTGGATGTAACTCATTAGCTGGAAGGAAGGGGAATGAGAAACAGCAGTGAGAGCAAAGAACCACAGCGCCAAACCAGCGCCCGGAGAGAAAGGTCAATTTCCTGCGATCCAAAGCGATACTGCCGCCGCCTCCCTGCTTGTAACACTAGCAGATCTCAAACTTTGTGCGCCTGTTCCCAGCTCTGCCACGCGGAATTTTAAGGGACTCGAGCAGCCGAGCGATGTCACAGGAGGAGCGTGGCCTGAATTCGACGGTGCTTTGGGAAATGACACGGGTTAGTAAGACGTTCAGGGTAATGAAAACAAGCGCGAGAGAGAAAGTAAAGCTAGCCTTTGTTTAAGAAGACCCAGAAGCGACCCAAACCGGAGTCCCTCTGGTTTAAGCTCGCTGAGGACTTGGCATGCAGTGGTTTGTGGATCGCACCCTAAAAGGGGCACATTTCCTTCGAAGCAGCGACGTTTGTTGGGATATTGAACGATTCGCTGCGTCGCAAAGTGTGCTAAGGTTCCGGGTATTAACGCTCAAGTCAAGCGCTTGAAAACTCTCCTCGCTTGAGTAACTGCAACTAACGACAAGTTTGCATAAGATGGGAAGGACCAATAATGCGTTAAGTTCCTATTGTGGGGAAGGGGAGGGGGCGTGTGCGTGGAGCAGAGGGAAGAGGCGGGCATCGCTGGTTTGTGCGATAACCTTAGCAGGGTCTCCATGATCCTGACGCCTCGGAGACTAGGAAGGGGGAGATCGGGGCTCTTTCCACTCCAAGGCGCACGAAGACTGCACCCGAGGACCAAAGAGACGCCTCGAACTGCTTTTAAGTTTCCTTTAAAAACAACACACACACACAAGCACAGCAAGCCAAGTTAGCTGTCACATAAACAGTAGTTGTGTCAGAGTTGGAAACACCCCAGTCCAAGGAAACTGCACACAAGCGACCAACGTAACAAAAAGCAGCAGGAGTCTGTTCTTTCTTGCTTGCTTGTTTGCTTGGCGTTTATTACAAATTATTTATTGGTGATCACCATTTCTTCGCTTCCTGAGAGGAAAAAGTTAAAATGGGGGTCCAAGAGACGCGGGATGCACAGTTAGGTCACTAGTTCCCACGCAGAGCCCACCCCAAGGGGCACGCGTGCTGTGGGGCCACAAAGTGGGGGAAAGAACTGAGGGTATCTTGAGAAACAATCAAATCCCTTTGAGGGGTTCCTTCTGGGTATTCCTGAGGATTTCATCGCAAAGTCCCGGTGGTAGAATATTGTGTCAACTCCACTACCCAACCCCGCACCCCTAAAAGCGAGTCTGATTTCAGAGATTTGTATTAAAATCAATGATGCTGACTATTTCGTCTAAAGTATTCGGAGATAAACATTTTTAACACTGAAACATTCAGATTTTATATTGTTCGTTCCTCGGGGCAGGGATCTCTTTTTTCTTTTTCGTTTGTTTGTTGTAAAGTCGTAGCAGCGATAACAAAATGAGACGAAATGAAAAACAGAAAACTGCACTTAGACGACACTGTATCGTCTGGTAACGGTAAAAAGACGGATAAATATATGTCTCTCTCACACACCAGTTTTCTACCAGTAGGAAGGTGCGTGTGCGCGTGTGTGTGTAGAAAAGCCAATTAAAGTCTTAACGTCTATACAAGCACGTAAGAGTGATGGGTAAGTATATCAGTGTACATATATGAAAAAGGAAAACATACACATGCGCCGTCGCGCGCGATCGGTAAACTAGTTAAGCCGTGGTGCTTTAGCTTAAAAAGTGTCTTAAATCCAAGGCCCTTCCGCCTTTTTGTTTTGGTGGTGGATCGCGTGACAGATCGTTCAGCTTGAGATCTAAAACACTTATTTGGAAACAATTTCAATGTCAATCAGCGTGACTTGTTCCAACCTGACATGTTTAGCACCGGTATGCCATAAAAGTATTTCCCTTCATTATTCTTTCTGGTTAGCATATTGATTTAGTGAAGACATGCATAATTTCTTTCTTTTAATATAACTCATTTCTGTTATAAAATTATATTTCACTACATATAATGCCATGAGCTTTACATTTCTCACAGTCAACACATCTATAAATCTATGTCTTAATAAAGTTAGCTTTTCTATTGCATGTACTTTTGTGTGCGCGCGCGATACGTATGGTTTAGCCTAGCTATAATTTTTAAAAGCCATGTACACAACTTCTCAAAAATTTCCCAGAAACCATGCATTTAAAAAATATAAAAGTCAAAGTCAGATCCGGACTCCTCTCTTAAACACAAGATAACGAGAAAGTGTGTGAAGTCCCCGAGCAAGGGAAACTCTCCTCGCTCTGTAACTGAACCAACCTAGAGGAGCATTGCACAGATTTCAGACGTTGCTTACAAGCCTTAATTAGGAAATTCTTCCCCGGAAACCATCCCAAGTTTGTACTAGACATCTCTTGAGGGGAAAACTAGGGGAGCACGCCGTGCATACGAGAGACTGGCTGCCTGGTCCAACTCAGCAGCTCCCCAGAACTGATCCATTTAACTGATCCACGAAGCTTGTCGTTTTCCAAAAAGCGCCGCGCCTTGATGGAGCAGTTAACTCACTCGGGCCCTTGAAATGACAAGTAGGAGGTCAGCAAGAAAGCGCAGCCCCAACTTTGCTCCCCCCGCCACTTCCAACATACACACTTTGGAGGTGCGGGCAAGCAGGGCGCTTGGAACTTCCAGCAAAAGAGAGAGAGAGAAATAAATGACGGGACGGGGCGTGAAAAAGACCGCTTCCTCCTGCTGGAGAGGAAACACAATGGGAACTGCCAGTCCTTGCCAGCCAAGCGAATTCTTGCACCGTCCCCAGAAGCCAAGACGTCTCCTTCGGCGGAAACGAAAGAGGAGCTCTGGCTTAAGCAAACGGATCCTGAGCGGAGGGAGGCCTGAAATCGAGACCGAAGGAAGGTGCTCTCAGCAACACCTCTCCCCCCGCTCGTGCAACGGGTTGGGGTATAGGTTCCCTAAAACTGGGGGTTGCTTTCCCCCCAAACGGGATTTCAGGGGGAGAGTTTTGCCTTCATTTAATTTAGATCATTCTAAAGCTTCTTGAATGAAGGCAGCAGAAGAGCGGGTTCAGCGTTACAAATGAAAGAGCAGCGCCTGAACCTCATTTTGCCAGGACAGACAGAAGCAAACATTGCCTGAAACAAACATGTGCAGGACACCGCGTTTTTCGAAAAGCGGGTGGGGAAAAAGTTCCATCCAAAGCAGTCGGCTCTTTCCCCTTTCTCTTGGTAACTGAACAGGGCTTTAAAAGATACTTCCCAAAGCACGCGAAATGCAGGTTCCCACCCGCCCCACTTTGCAAATATTTCAAAAATATTCAGTTATATTTAAAGTGCGTTGCTGCCAGGCCCACTCTAATGTCTCAAACGGTTTTTGTGGATGCCTGATTTATTGCAGTTGAGCGTAAAGCAACAAATGACATAAGGAGTCGGTTCAAGGGACCGGGGTTTTGCTGTGAACGATTCCAAAGCCTTCTTCCCCTTGGGATGGCGAGGACCGCTGCCTGGCCCAGCGGAGCCTCGACAGAGATCCAGGTGGGAGCGAGTTGCATGGCTTTCACGCAACTTCCTTCCAGGAACCTCTCTTCAAACCAAGCAGGTCCCAAGGAGTGTGACGTCAGCCACCGTCGCTTAAGTCGACGATATTCGGAAACAAAACAATATTATAAATGCGAACGACTCCGGTGATAGCGGCCTTAATTGCTCACGGATCGATTCCCCGTTTTAATTGTCCCAATGGAAAGTCAGAAATATTCCTGATTGAATTTTTAATTAAACAAACAACCAATAATTGAATCTGAGGAAAGAAAAAAAGAGACCTTCCAGAAATATAAAGTTGCTAGTGCCGCCGGCTCGTCTCACCCCCCCCCCCAATTTTTTTGTTTTGTTTCCCAAGTAATAAAACATAAAAATCGTACCTCTCATATACCTCCTTGCGCTGCAGTCGCCTGGGATAAGGAAAGGCACCTGCGAAAGTAGAATGCGCAAGAGAAAACAAAAGTTAGTCTGTGCTCTCAGATAAAATCACCAGCAGGACTATCAATTGAACTGTCAAGTTTCCACAAGCGACTTCCTCCCTCCTCCCCACCTTTGACAAGTGATACGGTGCACCCCTAGAAAACCTGAAGCGCAGAGCGCGCGATCGTTTGGCACAGCCAACTAACTACTGCTTTTAAGTGGATTTTAACGAAGTACCAGGCAATGAGGTATCGGGAAAATTTTACACACAGACACAGCACGCGAGAGAGAGAAGGGGAGAGAGAGGGAGAGAAATGGAAACTATTTGTCGGCGTTTCCCCCCAATGCTACTCCCCACCCCCACTTTTGGACCCTTCTAGCCCTCCCCCCCCCTCCTTCTTTAAAACAGTTTATTTGAAAGAAGCTTCGGGTGGACACTGTAGACATCCGGCCGGCCAATCAGAGAGGCGCTTTCTTCCCCTGGCCAATAGCGGGCGTCACATTGTTGTCAAATGTTGTCTAATGGAAACGTAAGGAGCAACAATAGAGCGAGCGCTCGCGGGCGGCTCGGCGAAGATTTCTATCTCTTGGCAACTCTCGCCCTCTTTAGTGTCACACATGCAAAGTTGCGGCTAAGGAAGGGGGGGACCGCGCTGGGCTCTGCCGTCTGCAGAAGGGAGCTCTGGCCGACGGGCAGGCGGGCTTTTCTTCCAGAGGGAGGGAGAGGCGGAGAGAGGGGACGCGGGGAGGCGGAGAGGCGCTGCTGGGCGCGGGTCGGGAAGTTGGAAGTTGCTGCGCTCGGGAGCGCGAAGGATCCCCGGTCGGTTGTCTCTCCCTGGCGCTGCCGGTCGGGGCTGTGGGGCTGCGGCGAGGGAGCCGCCGAGCTCTCCTTGGACAGGGCGCTGGTTTTGTTATGTCTCCAGGGGCTTGTGTACGCTTCAGCCGGGACCGTGTTTTGTAACATTGGCAAGCGCTTGGGCGCAGCTGTCTCCTTTCGCACCAAGGCGCCGCCGCCGCCGCCGCCGCTTGTTAGAGGGGCGCTCGCTGTTGCCATTGTCCTGGCGGAGTCTCAATCGCAACTTTCCGCAGGAGAAGAAACCCGCAAGAACTAGGGGAACAGGGTCCGGCTGCGCTTTGCAGAGAGGCCGAGGAGAGATGGATTGGTTGTCATTTCGGTGGCTCAGGTACTTGAGGGCTTTATCGGAAGCCACGGTTTCCTCCGCCCGGGGATTTTAATTTGTGCGGTGGGGATTAGGGCAGAAAGGAAGGAAGGGCCGCGACCACTTTGTGTTGACGCGTTCGAAAAGTAAACCAGATTTCCTTTCGCCTAGAGTTAGTTAAGCGGATCATTTACTGGGGGAAGGAAAGGCTGGAAAGTTCCAGGTATTTTAGTTAGGAAACCTGCCTAGACAGTGCAAATTGCCCAGAACTGCATGACAGTTGCTGTCGGAGGATTTCGTGTCAGGCTATCTGTGTGGGAGTTATTGAAGGCTATATGGAGGTTTAGAAAACACCCAGGTTTGTTTTGTTTTTTTGGAGGGGGCAGTGGCGGCGAGAGGGGCGTAATTCTGGAAAGGGCCCGGGTGTTGACAGAGCAGCTAGTCCGAGGGGCGTTCCGTCGCGTGTAACCCGCCCGCCTAACTCCGAGAGAGCCTTTGGGAAGCTGCTGCGCTTTTGCGCGCCTGGGGCTTCCCCGGGAGCCCGTCTCTGAGCCTTTCGGTTCTGCTTCCCCGTCAGGATGGAGCTGAGGTCTGAGATGCCCAGCGTGCCCTCGGCGCCCGCTCCGGTGCCGCCCAGCTCGGTGGCGGCGGCCGCGGCCGCAGCGGCGGCCAGCCTGCCGGTGAGCGTGGCCGGGAGCCTCCTCCGGGCGCCGCCGCTGCTCCTGCGCGCGGCCGAGAAGTACCCCCGCACGCCCAAGTGCGCCCGCTGCCGCAACCACGGCGTGGTCTCGGCGCTCAAGGGCCACAAGCGCTACTGCCGCTGGAAGGACTGCCTGTGCGCCAAGTGCACGCTCATCGCCGAGCGCCAGCGCGTCATGGCCGCCCAGGTGGCGCTGCGCCGGCAGCAGGCGCAGGAGGAGAACGAGGCCCGCGAGCTGCAGCTGCTCTACGGCACCGCCGAGGGGCTGGCCCTGGCCGCCGCCAACGGCATCATCCCGCCGCGGCCCGCCTACGAGGTCTTCGGCTCGGTGTGCAGCGCAGACGGAGGCACGGGGGGCTCAGGTGAGCAGGCACCGATCCCGCCAGCTTGGCTGGTCACGAGCGCCCGTCCCCCGCGGGGCACTAAGGGGAGTAAGCCAGGGGCCAGGGAGTAAGTCTCGCCGACCTCAGGGGGGGCTTACTTCCCAAGAAACACGCCCGGAAACTCACTGGTTTAAGCGGGGCGGAAAAGGGGAGTCCGCTGAGCCTCCATATAATGTCCAGAACAAAGCTGACTTCAGCCGAGCGCGCAGAAATAGAACTCGGCGCTCATCTCACCCACTTTCATATGTCCAGCTACTCAAGCACCATTTCTCAAATCCTTCCATTCTTCGCCGTTCCTTCGCTTTTTCTACCTTTGCCTCTACACTTCTCCAAGTCACTCCTGGACATACACAACAGTTCTGAATCTCCCTCCTCCCCTCCCTATTTCCACCACTTAGCACCCTTTGCTCTCATTTCTCCACCCATTCTCACTCCATTTCGCTCTCCACACATCGCACTTATCTGTCCCATGCACCCACGAACAACGCATATTTCAATACTGTACTACTTGTTGGAATTAAGTCCCAGTGATTTCAGTGGGAGACAATTTTACCCAAGCTGTTTATGATAGATAGGATGTTACCAGGTTGCTTATAAATGTGGTCCATTGGAAACAACGGGTCTTATTTCCAAGCCCAAACTGAGGCATATATATTCCTCTTGTCTTTTACATACTCTGTCAAGCTCAGAAACTCTTTTAAAGTTTCCTTCTCCATACTTATTCCGTGTCTACCCATCTGTACATGTATTTACACCCCACCCACAATTCCTTCCTTCCAGACCCATCTATGACGAGGGGTTACGGTCTCTATTGTGGACCCATTTTATGGCTTGATGCCTCTGTTTATGCAGAAGCAAACAGGGGTCAGTTGGACTTATTTCCAGGTAAGTGGGTTTAGGATTGCCACATTGTAAGCGATCGCTCTGGGACAGGGAGCTCCGACAGCAACGCGCATCAGCCTCGCAGTAGTTCTTTGCTCGACTTCTAGGGGAAGGCTCTCCTGCTGCCTCAGCCAAAGGAGATTGCGAGAGAGAATGGCGCCCTCTACCGACCCCCCAGCGATCCGACCCTGCTAAAGAGGTGCCAGGTGGTGTGGCGAGCAGGGGCCTGGTTTGCTAAACTGGCTCGGCAAAGGGGGCCAAGGAAGGTGCTTTGGCTGGTCACCAAGCGCCGCCTGGGAAATTGCGGGGTGGGGATGAGGAATAAGAGCTGCAAGATAGGCAGCACTTTATGCACCCACTTCCCCGGGGTGTGTGAGCCCCACATAACTCAGTGGGGCTTATTTCTGTGTTGACATGTATAGGGTTGGCAGGGCAAGTGCTGAAGTGAATTAATCAGGCTGGTGGGCAGATGCCTGGAGACGTGCTTGTCCCCTTGCGGGGTGTGTGTAGTGAGTCCAGTTTGGGCAGGCTGCATACTTCTCCGAATGGAGCTCCCCGGCTGCCGCCAACCCCGAGGAGCGGCTGAGTTCTCGGCCTGACCCCCCAAACCCAGCTCCACCCCGTCGAGGCTCACGCGTCTCTCTCCCTCTCTCTTTCTGTCTCCCCTCGGCAGAGGTCAAGCTGCAGAAGTTCGACTTGTTCCCCAAGACGCTGCTGACCACCCGGGCCGCCACCCCGCAGCAGGCCAAGCCCCTGTCTCCGGACGGCACGGACGGCGCACCGGGCACCTCGTCCCCGGAGGCGGCCCGCCACGGCTGCGGCTCGGGCTCGGAGAACGGCGACGGCGAGTCCTCGCTCAGCTCGCCCGTCTCGAAGGGCGCCAAGGACGGCTGCGCGGCCGAGGAGGAGAGCCCCGGCTCCATCAGCCCGCTGGGCTCCGACTCGGGCTGCTCTGAGGCGGAGCGCGAAGAAGCGGGCGCCCCTTCGCCCGGGCTGGCGGCGGCCGTAGCGGCGGCCGGAGGCAGCCGGCAGCAGCGGACGCCCTTGGACATCCTGACGCGCGTCTTTCCCGCCCACAAGCGCAGCGTGCTGGAGCTGGTCCTGGCCGGCTGCGGCGGGGACGTGGTGCAGGCCATCGAGCAGATCCTCAACAACCACCACCATCACCACCGCGGGGCGGGCAGCCCCGGCCAAGGCCTCGCCGTCGCGGCGGCCGCCGCCGCCTCAGGACTGAGCTCCGCGGGGCCCGAAAAGGCGAGCGACGAGAGCTGGGCTCGGGCCGCCGGGGACACGACGACAGGGCCTCTGGGCGGCCTGCAGCCTTCGCCCGCCGGCGCCGCCGCTCACCACCGCCCCCTGCTGGCCGGCGCCATGACGCCCGCCATCGGCGCGCTGGGCAGCCGCTCGGCCTTCTCGCCCCTGCAGCCCAACGCCACCCACTTCGGCGCGGCGGCGGCGGCCGAGGCCAGCGCCTACCCTCTGGGCACGCACCTGGGGCTGAGCCCGCTGCGCCTGGCCTACTCGGCGGCGGCGGCCCACAGCCGGGGCCTGGCCTTCATGACGCCTTACTCCACAGCTGGGCTCATGCCCACGCTGGGCTTCCGGCCGCCCATGGAGTACGCCTTCAGCGACCTCATGAGGGACAGATCCGCGGCCGCCGCCGCTGCAGCCGCCGCTGCCGCCGCCGCCAGTGCGCACAAGGAGCAGGCCTACCCCAACGGGCTCTACGGGCCCTTAGTCAACAGCGCTCCAGAGAAGCAGTAGGCCAGGCCCAGGACAAGGCCGCGCACCCCACACGAACCCCGGGCCTGCTTATTATACACGTGTATATATATACATGCTTCGAAGAAAGATAGACTGTGCCGACACCAACGGAAGGGAGGAGGAGATCCATGCCTTCAGCCCACGGGCTGAGTGACATAGGCCTGACCAAGAGTTTTATATCCCGCAGGGATCGCAGCAGTTCTTAAAATATAATTTACACTCGGATGTTAAACGCATTGCTCTGAAAGTAGTTCTCTGGGAAGTAAATCAGCGGAGTTACTTACAGGTTTAAGCTTGGAGGCGAGGCTGCCATAGGAATCCTGGCACGTCCCGTTTCGTCTGCGTAGGAGCCAGTATAAAGAAGGCAGTTTGGGGTGGGAGGTTTAGGAAGCGATTTAGAGCAGGTGGGGTTGTTTTCAAAAGATTGGCGGCTGCAGACGCCAGTAAAATGCATTCGGACACCAGTTGCTCGGAATTATTTCCATTGCCTTCTTCCCCAAGCCCTGAGTTCCGAGTGGTTTCTGGGTTGTCAGGATTTCGTTTCACCCTGTTCGTTGCAACGAAAACTGGTCAAATATGTGGGAGATACTTCTAGGTGTACTGAAGTTTTTTGTCCCGTCCCCCCCGGCGTATTTCCATTGTTATAAAGTTGTCAGCCATTTTTATCTTTTTGCTTATGCCCATAAATAAGCATGGATATTCCTCTTGGTGCGTTGTGAGATTGATATATATATGTATATACATACCGAGATATATACACATATATACCAGCAAGTGTATAGTATAATGTTATCAAATGGAAATCTTAAGTTATTAATGTAACTTGTAGGTGATTTTAGTATTAACGGTAAATTAAAAAGTTAGTTTTCAGTTTAAAACACACCAAGCATAGAGATTAAATATATTGTAAATAATTTTAACGCTTCTTTTTATTCACTCACTGAGAGGGGAAAGATACGATTTGTAAATAAATAAAGTTGAAAAGTAGATATATTTGCAATTGTTCTTTGGACTCAATCCAAAGCCTGTGCTTGACACCGTTTTAATGCGTGACCCGCAAGAAAAAAGATATTGGTTCCAGTGTAGCAAACTTCTTGCTGTTTCAAAAAGTTTTTGTCTTTTTCGCTGTTTTCATTTCATATAAATCCTAGAAATAAATGTTATTTTGTATTAAAAGTAGCCTTCTCAATAGCTCCTGCTGTTTTTTTATTTATTTTAAGGGTGTGTGTGGTTTTTTGGTTTTTTTTGCAGTATTTTGGTATGCTTTCCTAATGCAAGTTAGTGCAAAGTTGTAGTAATTTCTGATCCTTAACTGACCTATTTAAAGCGATTGCCCTGAGCGGACTCTCAGACATTCTTCCAAAACGGTTAACTAACATACCGTGCTTGCAATAGATGTTCACAGGAAAAGCTGTAAACCTTACACTCCAGTACACAGTTCGGCGGTTAAACACACACGACCAGAAATAATATATTACCTTGGTTCTTCTTTTTAATGGATTTGGGACGAAGTAACGGGTGCTGTTTTGAAAAGGTATTTTAAATTTTATTGATCTGTTTCGAATGCTAAATTCAGAGACGGCGATCCTAAACACACGCGCTGGGAACTGAATCGGATTCAGTCAACGGGACCCTCTTGTGCACCCAACTTCGCGGTGGATTGCGCATAATTTTCCTTTAATCGTATTGCCGATTTCTATAAGGAGTTGGTGGTTAAATTCTGCCTGTTAAAAATGCTAATTGGATTGACTGTAGCAAGAGGGTAGATACTCGTTGTTTTATTTACTTTTTTTAAATTAAATGCGCCTATACTTTTAGTGTGAGAATCTTCCGCAGCTCAAGGAGGAATTTCTGCTAGATTTCAGGAGAGAAAGCTTCCCTTTTCTTTGATCGACCAATCGCCTAGTTATTCTTCGGGTGAAATTGACCAACACCCGATACAAAGCACGCTTAACTTGGAAGTTTATTCAAGTCAGCCGACAGTGTATTCAGTGGGAAGCAAAAGAAGTGTGAAACGAGGAAACGAATTTAGTTTTCAGTCATTTGTTGAGGAGTGGGAGTTTTGGAGAAATATACACAAATCAATCCTAACTGCCCTTCTTGGGAAGTAAATTTAGTATTTTATATGTTCTAAAACTCACGGAGGAATGAGGAGACCTGGGAACCGTACTCTGTTTAACTGGCAGGCAAGGATGACGACGAGCAACAGAGCTCTTAGGAATTTCTTACTGTACCTCTAGAATGGCAGTGCTTATATAGGAGGGATTTTCTTTTCTACCCTGGAGAGTGTTTGGCCCAGGAAAACTATTACTCACAAAGAACAAGTTCAGTGCATGGTTGAATTAAGACTGTAAAAGCTCCTAAAATTGGTTGGTATGGAAACCTAATCCCACCCAACTGTTCTGTAGCGCAGCTGGACTGTTTACTTTCTCACTTCAAATATAACTGTGTAAACATTGGCTTAAAACTGACAGCTCTGCTCCTATAACCAGTTAATATATTGGGGTGGAGGGGTGAAAATTTGGATTCCTTAGTGGTTATTGGAAGAAGACATGGTAATAAATAATAGTGATGATGATAATAATAATTATTAGTGGTAGTAAAAAGGGGGTTAAAAGAAACACACCTCCAGTCAGTTGCATTTCTCCCCCCTTCTTCCGTGATTTCTTAAACGCGATTGAACGGCCTTTGTTGTGTATTTAAAAATTATATTCGAGTTAATTCTTTGACCCCTGCGCCAACCCTTAACGGCGGCCAAATCAATAGCACAAGGGAAAGGTGTTTTTTTTCTTTTTTTCTTTTTAAATAAAGTCTCAGGTTCCGAAAGTGGTTGAAACGTAATATTACTACACCAAAACGGTTTAATAATGAAGGGCTTTAATAGTGAGCTAATTTGATTGAGTTTCCTAATTCCACTTTAATTGGAAAAAAGGAGTTGTCTGTTCGGTTATAATGTGACAGGGTTATGGGAGGGGATGGGGCGGGCGGTGACCAGAGAGAAAAAGATGGACTTCGTGCGACAGAGTAAATCTCTGCTCTTTCTCTCTCTGTGTGTGTGTGTAGGGAGCCGTCTGATTTTTCTGGGGTCTGGGATTAAGAGGAGTGGGGCTAACAGAGGATTTTTCTACTTAAGGAAATGAGGTGGACACAATTGTCACTTTCCAGCTGCGGAGAGCGAGCCCCAGTAGCCGCTCACGATTTAGGAAACTCCTCCCGCCACACACGGCATTCCTTGCAAAGAGAATGAGCTGAATATATTCTTTGAGTTTCTTTCTCCGGAACACTTTTCCCCTCAAGTTTCTCAGTGACGCATCTGTACAAAGTTTCGAAGGGACCTCCGAGGTCATCTAATCAAACCTTTTAAATCTGGGATTTCATGGGATTAAACTGCCTAGACTTCTATAAATTTACAGTGGTCCCAAGGCGTCAAAAGGCCCTCCAGTAGCCAACGTGGCGCCCTCCGCGCATGGGCGTTTCCAGGATCTTTGGGGGGGGGGCAGAACTGACGTGATTGGTCAGTTAGTTAAGTATTTCTATTGTTTTACTTGATCCAGAGAGGGGCAACTAGCTCTCTCCCCCCTGCTACGCCCATACCTCCGCAAGTTGTGGATCCCAACTTCCATCATCTCCACTCAGCACCTTCGCTACCCCTTATCTATTTACTTGGTACATTTATACCCCATTTTTCTTCCAAGGAGCTCAAGATGGTGTGCTTCTCCTTGCCTCCATTATATCCTAACAACAAGCTTGTGAGGTAGGTCAGGCTAAGCGATGGTGATTGGTCCAAGCATGGTCACTCAGTGGGCTTCATAGCTGAGTGGAGATTTGAACCTGGTCTTTCAGGTCCTAGTCCAATGCTCTAACCACCACACCTCACTGGTTCTCTGCCCTGTTCTAGTCATACATCCTAGAACCAGGGGTGTGGCCAACTTGAATAAAATATTGAGGGGGGGAGGGATAGGTAAGCCCTGTTTGCATAATCAAATCACAATATGTGGAGCATGCACAACATTTGAATGGCAATGCCCATCTGCTTTGGGCAGGAGAGGCTTTGTCAAATATTTTATTGGGGGGGGCACAAAGGGGAGTTGGCTCCTATGCCCAGAGTCCCAATACAAGCACAACCCCACAATAGTAGGCAAGGAGCAGAGAGGCAACTGCAGAGCAAACATTTCAAATTACTCAAGAAGGAGCCACTCCACTCGGTGGAGTGAAATACCCTTCCTCACTCTTGAATTTGAAGGGGCGTGGGGTGGGATGGGTGACATGACAAAACCCACTCCACACCACAAACATGGCAGCCAATCTGATCGTGAACATGAGAACGAACACAGTCCCTGCCCCCAGGCTGCCAAATAAAGGAGACTTTGCCGCTTGGCCTTGCAAAAATCAACCAAACTGGAAGCATTTTCTCTCTCTGTCCAAATTAAAATCCTTGTCCTTCCTTCTAAAGTCTTGCTCAATTGTTGTCCTCTCCATAGTTTGAATGGTTCCATGATCAACATTAAATAGTAGTCTATTTTCCTCTTGATTGGCCAGTATAAAGAGCAGATGAACTGCTTGTCTCCCCTTGGGATCCCTTGAGTCTCCTAAACTGTAAGCGACATAAGAACATCATTGTAGGGCAACACACTGGGGAAAGGACAATGTGGTGTTGAGAACCAGGCTATGGCTAGAAGGCAGGAAAAGGGAACCTGTGCCCCTCTCAAGGTTACTGGACTGCAATTCCTATCACCCCTGACCTTTGGTGATGCTGGCTGGGGCTTATGGGAGTCCAGCACCATATAGGGAACAGTTCCCCCATCCCTTGATGTAGGGTATGAGCTATTTCTTTATCACATTTATATACCAGCTTCTCCCCCTCCCCCCAATGATCTCAAGGTGGTGTACATGGTTCTCCCCTCTCCATTTTATCATCACAATAACCCTGTGGGATGGACTAGGCCGAGAGACAGTGACTGACCCAAGGTCACTCACTGAGCTTCATGGCTGAGTGGGGATTTGAACCCTGGTCTCCAAGGTCACAGTTCATCATTCTATTACATCACACCAGTCATGTCATAGGACCAAACCACGGGTCACATCAGTTGCTTATCTCTCATATTTATCTAGCCAGTAGTTTATGTATATTTCTTCTTGCTCTCCATCTCGGGGGGCAGGGGTGTATCTGAAGGTGTTCTTGATGGGCAGGGCAGGTCATTCTCCCCAGGGATGTAGTCTAAAAGCTACTAAAATTCCTCCTCTGCTCCCCCCACCCCATAAATAGATTGCTGGCAGTTGAATAAAATTAAACAAAGCAAGTATAAATAATTTGTAAAATGGAGAGGCAGTGTGCCAGCATTTGCAAACTTTCTGTTAATTAAAATCTTAATCCGTTCAGTTGCATTTTCATTGTTTGGCTGTGTATTGAGAGTGGGGCACATCCAGGAGGTTTATTATCTGCCCTGGTTGCTTAATAGAAATCAACCCTAATCCACAGCGTAATAAAGATAACATTATACTAACAATTTAGTGGCAAAATGACATTTCTCACCAAAGCAAACATCTTTCCTCCTCACCCTCAGGTTGGTTAAAGGAGGAAAGGGCAGAGGGTAACCACAGCACAGGTCCCCTTCAGAGGTTAACTTGTACAATGACAAGTTTGGGGAAACCAATTGGCCTATCCCCAAGCCCGGATTTTTATAGGCTAATTGTGGTTATTTACTAGTGAAAGGCCACAACTCAGCATATGCTCAGAGTCACCCCACCCCTTCTATACTTTATTAAACACATGGAGCAGCCCAGTCCAGAATGGCCTACTTGTAAGGGAACTCTATATTTGGGCACATTTATTTATGAATACAGGATTTACTCCATGATTTTTAGAAAAAAATTCAGAATAAATTATGTGTGTTTCCTGGTTTAAGGTGTTGTCGTCTCCATAGTTTCATTTTCTTCTGTGATCAACGTTACAGAGTGCTTTCCTACGGTATTTGCCCTGCAGCTTCATTTTCCATAGGAAAAAGCATTTGCTAACCTTTGAATGCCCCCCCAACCACCACCTTGACTTACTGCTAAAATATTGCTTAATTTTGAATTTCCATGTCATAGTTTAAAAAATGCAATGCAATGCTTTATACTGAAGTGTAGGAAACATGGATAAAACTGCTGATAAACAACAAATACACAATATATGAAGAAGTCCTTGCCTC